GGGCGCAATTCATGTAATACGTCTGAACATAAAGCACTTACAAAGTTTAAGAATCTGATTCATCTGACAAGGTTCACAAAAATGAATGATATAGATTTGAAAACGAGTCATACTCATTATGGAGATATTTGACATGAAACATATATATCTTGGTCATAAAATACTAATAGGACTACTATGCATTAAGTGATACAACTGATGGATTTCAAGCTTCCCAATTGCCACTATGCTCTTTAGAAATACTACTCATCATCACTATCACTATCACAACTGAAAAATGATCATTGAATGAGCTTAGGGAGAAAGATCATAAGCACGATTCATTTAAGAAATCTGATATAAGGATATGCATGACATAACATTATTTCGTTAGCCATTGAGTGTAAACCATGAATTCGTGAGACTGAGCATATTATGAGACATGAGTGCTTATATAAATAGATTCATACCATAAGACTGATATTCATAATTTTATAGAGTAAGGTTGAGATCAATGGGCTAAAGTCTCGACCTCTTATTCTGAGAATTGAACATAGATGTGAATCTTTCTAAAGTGTATGATTATAGGTCATGGACATAATGTTGATGTGCAAGACATTAACAGGGTGTTATAATGACTAATATTTGAGGAATACGCTAGAGTACGAGTGGATTGACATATCACTTTAATTCTAATAGAACACATCACTTTCTGATTCTTTAACACTTGACTTGGTTCCTCATCTTATCATCTACCCTTTAGGTCTGAAACTGACACTTTAAGGCTATGGACCTATTTTGTTATCTCTAAACTAGTCTATATTCACTTTACTCTAATACCCGGGAAATGCTAATCGCATGGCTACTAAACTCTCCATGTATAGTAACTAAGATTCCTTCTTAGTCTTTTTTGTGAGATGCTTCTCTTAACCTCTTCCCGCTTCTATATAAGTCTTGCTATAATATTGTTACCCACATTGACCTATAAAGCCGCTTAATCTAACTATTAATAGTCTGACTTCTCTTTCATAGCCCACTAACACTGTCCTTCTAAGTTCATATCTACCTAACAGGAGGAAACTTGAACATTATTTAAGTGGCTTATCATTGGCTATATATGATCCCTTCGACCAGACTCTTAAGGGTAATAAATAATGCTTAAATCAGTCTACTCCACATTGACAAATCAAATATACTATCGAGACAAACATGAAAAATCATTAACTTAATTAGCATTTTGTCTGACTACATAAAATCTTGGGTACACCTCTTAATGCTCTCGTTAGTCTAATAACTAAGTCACACTTCATTACTCTCATATAAGGGTCATAATACCACGCTTGTACCACTCACATTTATTGCAAAGTAACACCTTAATTCCTTACCTATTTTATGTCAACCCTACTAGACCATATCTCAAAACTAACATTTTCACCCTCATGTTACCATCTTTTTTATCAGGACACTCATCTCAAATTCAAGCTTGGTGTCTAGTACTAAACACATATATCATTATAATGGCTCACATATTATACTAACTTACAATTACTAGGTGAAATTAAGAAAAAACCTCATGATAAGTAGTCAATATTTATCTCTCAGTCTACCTAGTTACATATTTTCATCACATTCCTTTTCAAAACCTAAGTACTATTTACTCATTCACTATACATCATTGCCTAATTAGTTCTATATCACTATTAATATCATAGGGCTCTCCTTTAGAAGTTATAAGTCTGGCTTAGATATATCACCTCATGACTACTTTGTCCTTCTATTAAACAATACTTGATTTTCACTAACACAATGACACATCAACATAAACTCATTTCTAGTTAAAGTATACTCTAACTCATCCTAACCAGTAACTATTCCTTTAACTTCTATCATGAAATCCATATAAAATTATTATTCCTTAGTCTATACATAAAGGGAAAACTCCACATTAATGACTTACTAAGTATGTGACAACGACTCCACACTTTACTCAATAACTATCTCCATTTCTTAGGCTATTACACTTCTAAATATATATATTTCTAACTTTAGACACTAATACTATTACTGGTTCATAATATCGCAAATCACATTATCTTTCAAGCAACAACACTATCCAAGTGCTTTAAAACACACTTCCCTCTTAAAGGGATTCACCTGAAACAAGGTTTAGAGAAGAGAATTTAGGAGCATATCTTTGTTTTTAGCTCGCACGCACGATTTATATGAATAAGTGTGCATTTTTTCGAATAAATACACTTAAGCATACTGATGGGCTTCTCTCAAGCCTAGTTGCAGTCTCTTGACTTTCTAATGACTTTATCTGAGAGTAATCATCGATAATGATTTGGGCTTTGATATTTCAACCAACTTGAGTATGAAGGATAGTCGAATGGATTTGAGAAATGCACGAGTCTGAATAACTTTCTTATGACACAATTCTATTGCACAATCTAGAGTATGAATGAATGATAAACATCTCTTAAATGCGATGTAGCCTTCTGATAATAAGTGTAGTGCTCAACATATCCATAAGCAAAATTATACTAGACACATCTTCATAGACACCCTAAGACACTTGAACTCTCTACTCTAATAACAAGTTTGTCACGCCCCGTGCTTATACCCGGACATGGCCGACACTCAAAACCATTGCTCGTCCCAAGTGAACTCTTGGCATGACTGACTACAGAGAGGAAAACTATACATACATGCGAAAGCCTTATAATGTAGATAATATCACTAATGGGTTGGGCCGTTACAAAATGGTATCAAAATCACTGCTCTATTAGCCTTGTCGATATGGACCAGAGTTCAATTAAGTTTAGGAAAATCTCGATAAGACAGGTTAAATCTCAGTGCTGAGTCTAGGCGAATCCCATACGGTGGGGCAAACCTCAACGAGGACGCTGAGTCTATAGAGGGGGGTGTATGTGACAACCCAGGTTAAGATTAGAATTCTCACATCAACAAAACATAGGAGAGATGTTAGGTATATATGTAAGCAGACATTACCAACTAGTGATGCGTTTTTAAGTCGTGTGGGCATAGGCCCAAAATGGACAATATCACTAGTGGGTTGGGCCATTACATTTGGTTGGTCATGTAATTATTTGGTCAGCATGTAATTAGGTGTAATTAGCATGGGGTAATTACACTCTCCAATTCTCAGTGAGGGACTATGAAGTGTTGTTATTATTTTTATTTTTTGATTTAATTCAATCTTAAATTCTACTTATTTTAAATTCTTTTTTATTTTTATCATTCTAAAAATGTCTTTTTTATTTTATACTATTTATATTTTATTTCCTTCTCATTCTTAGCATTTACTTCTTGTGATTCCATGTGATTTCTCCTATTATCTATTTTATTTATTTATTTATTTATTTTATTAGCATAATTTTGTTTGTATTCTAATTTTTAAATTGAAGGAAAATTCTTGTTAAATAAGGTTATATATTTACGTTTTTATATTCTTTTAAATCACATTTATTTACGTTATGTGGAAATTTGACATAAGAATATTACATTAAATTTCTTTTCGAATTTAGAACTTATGTTATATTTTCAATTATTGACTTGATATTTCATATTGCAAATCATTTATTTTTTAGTTAGACTTGATAGTTATCTTTTTATCAAATATTTTCATAATTTATGACATTAAATTTATAATATTAATCTTTTATAAACATATTTTATATAACATTCATAGAAATCTGATACTTTATTTTATTATTAATTTAAGGGAAAAGGGTCAAAATTACCCCTCAACTTTGTTTTATTGGTTGACTTTACTCTTACCGTTAAAAGCAAGTTATTTTTACTCATGCCGTCTATAAACTTAACAAATATACCCCTCCTTGGACGGAAACCCCCAAATCAATTGAAATTACCCGATTTTAATTGAAATTATCCAATTTCTTTTTTAACCCGAACTAAAACCCAACCCACTAAACTAAACTAACTAACTCATTTCCAATCTTCTTCATCTCAGTGTTCTTGGCAAAGTACCCTAAGAACACTCGCAATCTTTATCATAGCTAACACATAAATTCTACATTATCTAACAAAATCAATCGAAAAGACCTGATATTTATCTCCGAATTGTTTGTTGAAGGTTGCCTAGGCTAAACACTGCAGTCGTTCAATCACAGGATTTGCTACATACAAGAAATCAGTAATCATCAAATATCTGGTACTCATCAAATATGATGATATATTGGAAACATTTTGAACAAATAAAAAGATAGAGAAAAGAAAAACCTCCCCTCCATTGTAGCTTAAGCTTACGTGCACATACAAGAATCATGGAGGGCCACTGAATTGATTTACGAGCCAGGTAAAGAAGAATTAGATGTACTATTGGGCACACATTTAGGGGCAGCCTACTGACAACAAATCAAAAAGTAATTTGGTTGGTACCCAGAAATGGTTTTCTTCATTGGATTGAATGATGACGTGTAAATTGAAACTTCTCCATTTACTTGCTCTGTGGCTTGTTCTTCACTGAACCCCACAACAGAGAGAGGCGGGATGCCGTTCAGCAAAAATAATATACTTGTTATACATTCAACCAACAAACTTTTTCAATTGATTTTGTTAGACAATGTAGGATTTATGTGTTAGCTATGATAAAGATTGTGAGTGTTCTTAGGATACTTAGCCAAGAACACTGAGATGAAGAAGATTGAAAATGGGTTAATTTGTTTAGTTTAGTGGGTTGGGTTCTGGTTCGGGTTAAAAAAGAAATTGGATAATTTCAATTAAAATCGGGTAATTTCAATTGATTTGTGGGTTTCCGTCCAAGGAGGGTATATTTTTTGTTAAGTTTATTGACGGCAGAGGTAAAAATAACTTGTTTTTAACGGTAAGGGTAAAGTTAACCAATAAAATAAAGTTGAGGGATAATTTTGACACTTTTTCCTTAATTTAATTAATATATACTAATTTAAATTACACCATTTCCAATTAGAGCATGAGCAATACAAACCTTTAGATGTTTGTTCCTCTTTTCTTTTTCAGTAGCAATATCTTGTTTTCCTTGGAATGCTGCCAATTAACCCTACTTCCATTGTCACCCCTCTCAAGTTCTCCATTGTCACATTCTCATTTCCTCATTCGAACACCATCTCTATTCGTTGCAACGCCGCCTCTGATCCATCCTCCTCCTCCTCCTCTTTCAACTTCGTCGGTGCTGCTGATGCCGCTTCCGCCGGCAGAATTTCCAAAAAATCTCTAGGCACTTCTCCGGTGGAGAAGCGAACGGCGAGTAACACCAAAAATACGAAAATTAATGCCTGGGAAAAGCCTTGGTCGCGCAACCGAGAAAGCTACTTGGCCGATGATAGTGAACCTCTTCCTCTTCCCATGACTTATCCTGACACTTCTCCTGTTTCGCCCGACGAAATTGACCGTCGCCTTCACTGTGATCCCCAAATACAGGTCTTCATTTTGCTTTGTACTTTATATTTATTTGCCTTATTTTAGTCTAATGAGAAGCAATCACCCGGTTTTTTTTCCCTTTTTTTAATGCTGAGATTAATTTGAACCTGGTCTTCCATGATCCATTCAAGTTAGCAGGCTGCGCCTTTGGGTGAAACTAAAAATAGTGAACTATGATAAATATTAGACCCAAACTAGTTTGACATTGCAGCGTATTGATTAGTTGTCAATTTGAGTGAAGTGCACAGTTAGATTACCCAATAACAGTATGGGTTATCTCGTTGTTCTAGTTCAGACTATTGAGTTCTGAACTAACTTTCGGTTTTGTAATTTAAGTTCTTTTATGTATAAAATGGACTTTTTGGAACATTAATGCTAGTGTAAGGGACTAAAGGAAAACATTTTCTGTAGAACAAAAGAACTACCTTTTGAGGCTTATATTGCAGTGCAGTTCAACATTTTGTCTCAACCCCAGTCCCCAAGGCTTTTGGTCGAGTGGTAAGAGCGTAGCATGTGATGTGTGGGTTAGGCACACGTCATAAACATAGACAAAAGCTTGGTATTTAAGTGGACAATGATAAAGGGGCGGGCCAATCATCAAGTTTCAAACCGTGTGCCAATGACCCTCGGGGATTTCTTGGTTACCAAAACAAGAAAAAGAAAAAGATCTGCACTTTGTCTGGTATCTTGTGGCACAAAGTTATTTATAGAGTTCTGTTACCTTTGTCAAAAAAAAAAGTTATTTATAGAGTTACTGACCATGATTGGTCAGTATACTGTCTAATCTGTTTCAAATTTTATCCACCACTAGACTACTAATAATATTGACAGGAATGAGTATGCTATTTGTTATCACAGGGTAATATCTTTGTCTACGTAAAGAAGATGTTTACAAGAGAACGCTAAAGATATTCACTGGTCTAGGTTTTTCATTTTTCTTTGGTCATTCTTATTTTTTGATGAAAGCCCTTTGGTCATTATTGCTACTTTAGGATTGCAAGGAAGTCGTCTATGAGTGGACTGGGAAATGTCGGAGTTGCCAAGGAACGGGATTTGTAAGTTACTACAACAAACGAGGGAAGGAGACCATCTGTAAATGCATACCTTGCCTTGGAATCGGTACAAGCACCTTACTCTTATTTCCTGTGTGCATTATATTTTCATGATCATTATTTGCCTTCTCTGTTTTTCTTTACTTTGAAAAGCGTGGAATGCATACTCATTCATTCAAGGCTTCTTTGTATACAGTAGTATGCAGGAAGCTTTATATTCTTATGTAGTATAAATTGTGAAAAGTACCTAAATATTAATTTCACGTCTATAAAAGCAGATGCATTAAAATGATGTTAACTTACCGTGTCTGAATACAATAACAACCACGTCTCAATTCCAAGCAAGTTGGGGGTGACTACAATGGTGTAGCCAGAAATTTCTTCAAGAGTCTTCAAATTTTAAAGAAGCCAATAAAAAATATTGATGAATGGGTGCCCAAAATTTCTTAGTCAAACTACACAATATTTAGCTAAACCATAAAAATAGTGTAATAAACCTACAATTTTGTAACTAAAACTAACATGAGAGGTCAAACAAAAAATTCTACAATAGACATTCAATTGAAATTTATCATCACAATTGTATTTGATAAAATTTCATCTTTTTGAGTGTATTTATAATTATATACTCACTATAAATTAGTGTTCAGGGAAGCGTGAAGCGGAAAAAAGCGACAATGCACTGCTTTGGTTAAAGCGTGAAACACAATTTCTAAAGAAAAACAACCAAATTAAATAGAGACAATATATATAAGTAGAAGTTCTTATTAAAAGCTAGAAGATAGATATCGAAAAATCCTCCATAGATCATTGGACAAACAAATCAAATTTAATAATCTTTCAACATCTATTTCTTGTTCTTCTGAACTCTACTCTACTTTTACAAGATTGACAAAATCTTATATTTCTCTTTTATCATTGTATTGTTCATCATCTTCAACTTCATCAACACGGCTTGAAGTAGCTATCACTTTTCCCCTCTTATGTAAACTTGAAGTATTTTCTCTCAAACCATAACAGTTCTCCTCAACTCTTGCCCCAACAACAATACTCCGAGTGAAATTAGAATCTTTCTCAAAATTGCTTCATCTTCAAGACTTCAACATTCTCAACTCTAGTTAGCCATTCAATGACATCATTAGTATTGTCCAAGCTAATTGGACCAATTTCATTGCAAGCGTTGTCCCCGATGCTCTAGTTCTATTATATTTTATGAACACCATGTCATGTGGAGCTTTAGTGTTAGTCGATTCCTCTTCTTGGTATGAATCTAGAAACAAATATAGCAAGTAATTAGTAGGATTTTATTTTTTTTGAGACAAAGTAATTAGTAGGAATTAAGACAATTGTGATATAATATTGTTACCTCAATATACTAAATTTTGCTCATAGTTCTTACATACTTAAATATGCTCCAATTTCTCACGCCCAGATAAGATACAAGTTAGACATAATTTAATGGCGATCTTTTGTAACTCTGGAGTTTCTAAACCACAAAGCCTCCACCATTCAATTGTTAAAGTAGAACAACTGACACTAACTTCATGATAAGAGGGAGGCTTCATTTTTGGACCACATTGGCCTATGAACTCAATGAATTCTCTAAAATTGTTGGAATAATTGGCATAATTGAGTGGGAGCCCTACTTCGTACATCCATTGTAAAAAGGTCGCAACTATACGTTCCGTCAAAACTCTCTTGGCCATATCTTGCAAATTCTTTTTACCAAGAAGTGACCATCTATAGGACCTTTTCTACTAATGATTCATAACTTAAAGAGACTATTGCATTTGTAATTGTTTTTGTGATTTTGAAGGAAATGACAATAAACAACCTCATCTTTCATTTCTTCATCTTTATCACGATTAGTCACATTCAGTTTAAATATAGCCTTGACGTTTTAGCTCTTTTTTTTCATGAACATATTTTTTAATTTCTCCCCTCACAATTTCTGGACATTTTGTACACTTTGCGACATTCCTAAAAGACTCAATTAGATGTTGTTTGTGACGAAAGATTCAACCTTGAGTTATCTTGTCACAAGACAAACATATAAATTGTGACCCTATTGGTCTCACTTAATATTTTCTCATAGTTCCTAGTCGGTTACCCATTTTAATCGTTGGTAAGATTTAAGAAAAATCAAGTGAAACCAATGAGACCACAATTATATGTTTGTTTTTGTGATAAAGTAACTCAGACACACTCTTTCATCACAAACACCATCTTATTGGGTCTTCTAAGGATGCCTCAAAGTGTGAAATTTTCGTAGATTGTGAGGGATAAATTAAAAAATATGTCAATGAAAAAAGGACCTAAAACGCCATGCTTTATTGCAACCGAATGTGGCTAATCTTGGTGATGATGAAGAGATGGAAGGAAGATGAAATAGTTGATTTGTCACTTCTTTCAATATCACAAAAACAATCATTAAATGCAACAATCTTTTCAAGTTATGGATCAATCGCTAGAAATGAACATTGAGGATGACGAAATAGAAGGTTTATTACCTGCTTCAACATTTTCACCTGCATTATTGGTAACAACATTTTGTGCTCCAATCATCTTAATAGTGTTCTGAACCCATAAAATATTTTGATAGAATCAGTAAACGAGTTGCTCACATCAATGGATTCAACAAATAGTTTCTTTTTGGAGAATTCACCAACACGTCAATGATCATTTTTACATTTCTTGTAGTCCATTTATCCAACATAATGGAACATATGAACTTGTTCCATTTTCCCATTGATCCTCCATAACTTTTTTGTCTCTTCCACTTCTTTGTTTAGATAATTGACAATAATTTCATGAAAAACAGGAGGCTTCATTCTTGGACCACATTGGCCGACAACTCTATGAATGCTCTAGAAATGTCGATATAATTGGCACAACCGAGGGGGAGCCCTACTTCGTAGATACATTGTAAAAAGGTTGCAACTATATGTCAAAACTCTCTTGGCCATATCTTGCAGATTCCTTTTACCAAGAATTGACAATCTATAGGTCCTTTTCTACTAATGATCCATAGCTAAAAGAGACCGTTGCATTTGTAATTGTTTTTGTGATTTTGAAGGAAATGACAAATAAACAACCTCATCTTTCATTGCTTCATCTTCATCAAGATTAGTCACATTCAGTTTAAATATAGCCTTGACGTTTTATCTCTTTTTTTCATCAACATAATTTTAGTTTCTTCCCTCACAATTTCCGGATATTTTGTACACTTTGCGACATTCCTAAAAGACCCAATCAAATGTTGTTTGTGACGAAAGATTCAGCCTCGAGTTATCTTGTCACAAGACAAACATATAATTGCGACCCTATTGGTCTCACTTAATATTTTCTCATAGTTCCTAGTCGGTCACTCATTTTAATTGTTGGTAAGATTTAAGAAAACTCAAGTGAAACCAATGGGACCACAATTATATGTTTGTTTTGTGATAAAATAACTCAGACACTCTTTCGTCACAAACACCATCTTATTGGTCTTCTAAGGAGTCTCAAAGTGTGAAATTTTCGTAGATTATGAGGGAGAAATTAAAAATATGTTAATGAAAAAATGACGTAAAGCGTCATGCTTTATTTCAACCGAATGTGGCTAATCTTGGTGATGATGAAGAAATGGAAGGAAGGTGAAACAGTTGATTTGTCACTTCTTTCAATAGCACACAAAAACAATCATTAAATGCAACAATCTTTTGATCAATCGCTAGAAATGAACATTGAGGATAACGAAATAGAAGGTTTATTACCTGTTTTAACATTTTCAACTGCATTATTGGTAACAACATTCTGTGCTCCAATCATCTTAATAGTGTTCCGAACCCATAAACTATTTTGATAGAATCAGTAGCTGAGTCGCTCGCATCAATCAATTCAACAAATAGTTTCCTTTTGGAGAATTCACCAACACGTCAATGATCATTTTTTCAATTCTTGTCATCCATTTGTCCAACATAATGGAACATATGAACTTGTTCCATCGATCCTTCATAACTTTTTTTTGTCTCTTCCACTTCTTTGTTTAGATAATTGACAATAATTTCATGACAAAAGGGAGGCTTCATTCTTTGACCACATTGGCCAACAACCTCTATGAATGCTCTAGAAATGTCGATTTAATTGGCACAATCGAGGGGGTGCCCTGCTTCGTATATCCATTGTAAAAAGGTTGCAACTATATGTCAAAACTCTCTTGGCCATATCTTGCAAATTCCTTTTACCAAGAATTGACAATCTATAGGCCCTTTTCTACTAATGATCCATAGCTAACAGAGATCGTTGCATTTGTAATTTTTTTTGTGATTTTGAAGGAAATGACAAATAAACAACCTCATCTTTCATTGCTTCATCTTCATCAAGATTAGTCACATTCAGTTTAAATATAGCCTTGACGTTTTAGCTCTTTTTTTTCATCAACATATTTTTTAATTTCTTCCCTCACAATTTCCAGACATTTTGTACACTTTGCGATATTACTAAAAGACCCAATCAAATGTTGTTTGTGACGAAAGATTCAGCCTGGAGTTATCTTGTACAAGACAAACATATAAATTGCGACCCTATTGGTCTCACCTAATATTTTCCCATAGTTCCTAGTGGGTCACCCATTTTAATTGTTGGTAAGATTTAAGAAAAATCAAGTGAAACCAGTGGGACCACAATTATATGTTTGTCTTGTGATAAAATAACTTAGACACTCTTTCGTCACAAACACCATCTTATTGGGTCTTCCAAGGATGTCTCAAAGTGTGAAATTTTCGTAGATTATGAGGGAGAAATTAAAAATATGTCAATGAAAAAATGACGTAAAGCGTCATGCTTTATTTCAACCGAATGTGGCTAATCTTGGTGATGATGAAGAAATGGAAGGAAGGTGAAACGGTTGATTTGTCACTTCTTTCAATATCACACAAAAACAATCATTAAATGCAACAATCTTTTGATCAATTGCTAGAAATGAACATTGAGGATGACGAAATAGAAGGTTTATTACCTGCTTTAACATTTTCACCTGCATTATTGGTAACAACATTTTTTGCTCCAATCATCTTAATAGTGTTC